TTTAAATTATATCAATACTATCATTTTAAAAAGTAATTTATGTTTGTAACTACTAATTTATATAATTTTATAGTGTTTACAATTAACTATCTTATTATTTATTTACAGAATTTAAGTTTTAAATTTGTTTTTTATATTCAATTAAAATATTCTATTCATACTACAATAAAAATACAGAATATTAAATTAAGATTTTTTAAATCTATATTTATTCTTGTTTTTATGATAATTAATTAATTAATTAATCCATTTGTAAAAGTAAATAATTATCATCGTATTAAGGATTATCTTTTTTTACATCTAATTGTTTATTTTATGTTAATTAACTTTAGCATTCTTCTATTTTTTTCAATAAAAATAATTTTTCTTTTTAAAGAACATGTATTTACTGATTACATTTATTCAAGAAATTATTTAATTAACTTTATAATTCTGTTACATTTCTTAAATTATTTAATTTTTCTGAATTTTATAATATTTCTAATTACTAATGCGAATTTTGTGATTATATATATATTATATTTTATTTTTTTATTTCTTATTCTTTTTCAGAGTCAATCTGTGATAATTATAACTATAATGAATCAAGCTCTTATTAAAATTGAAACTTTTTTTAATTTAATAAAGTCATTTTTTCTTCATATTTTTAATTTATTTATTAAAATTATTCATCTTAAATTTATGCATTTGATTCTTAAATTTAGTTTGATGATTATTTTAAAAAAATTATTTCGTTATTTAGATTTTAAATTGTTTAGGTAAATTCTTAAATTTATAAGTTTTGTTGACTTATTTTATCCAAATATTATTATATAGTTTTATATTATTAAGTTATGGTAATTTTATTATTTTAATTTTCAAATACAGCTGATTTTTCGTTTTAATATTATAATATCTATTATTAAAGATATATTACTTGTTCTTTTTACTCCTCTATCTTTATATTTTATATTTCTTAAGGTAAATAATTGTTTTATTGTTATTATAATATATTTTGATTTTAACTTTTAATTTAACTTTCTATTGAATCATACATCTATTTCAATTCTTCATATTTTTATTAATATTCTAAGCTTTTATTAAACATTTGATTTATTTATAATTTTTATTATTCAGTTTCAATTATTAATTATTCATTTTTATTTTATAAAAACTAATTTTCTTCTTATAGAATTTTTAATTTATTTTAAAGCTATTTAGATTCGATTTCGCAATTTTCTTATTATTATTATGTTTAGATTTACATATATTATAGACCTTCTTTGTCTGATTTAATCATATTATTTTATTATTCTAATAATTTATCTAATTACCTGATTTTTTCTTCTTATTTTAATATTGTTTATTTTTATTGTAAATTCTCTTCTTATAATTATTTATATTAATTCATAACTTCTTCATATTAATTTTTTTAATTTTACTGCGATTTAATATAATCTTAATTTTAGATTTTATATATACAATCTATATTTTTACATTGTTAATTTAATTCAGATAAACTATCAAAATTATTATTTAAATTTAAAATTTAATCATAATAATTTTATTGAAGTTTTGTTTTTTCTTCAATTCTATTCAATAAAATTTAATCTTTATCTTTAACTTATCTTTTTAAGAACAAATTTTGTTATTCTAATTAAAATACCAAAGCATTTATTTATTTAATTTCATTTTCATATTATCTTAAAACATTTTCATTATTTCTTATATTTTCTTATAAATTTTATACAGTTAATTTACTTTGAATTTATTATTATTCAAGTTCTATATTACTTAATTATAAATTGTGAATAATATTTTAGTTTTATTCGGCTTATTCCATTAATTAAATTATGGAATTTTAATATTTTTATATGATATTTTCTTATTCTTCATATTAATTTTACAAATCTTTATATTTTTAATTTTCATTTATTTTACTTTCTTAAATTTAAGAAGTATCTTTAATTTTATTTACTTTAAAATTAATTTCTAATTAATTTATTAAAATATTTTTTTCTTATAATTCTTTTTTTAATTCTTCTATATCTTTTATTAATTGATTATTATTTTTATCTTGTTATTACATAAATGTATACTATTATTAAATATTTTTCATTTATTCATTCATCTATTGTAATTTCATTTCTAAAGTTTCACAATTATTTATCAAAAGTATATTCTTTTATTAAATATTACTAAATTATTCATACATTTTACTATTATTAATCTTCAAATCTTAGTTAGGTTAAATATTTGTATTATAATTATTCAAGGAATTATGTTTTTTTTGATAATATTCCACTTATTTTAACAATTTATCTATTTTATTTTGATAACTTTCGTTTAGATTTTAAATCCTTATTTCATATTATTATATCTATTCGGTTGTTTTCTCATTTAAATTACTCGCTTTTAACAAATTATGTAACTACACTTTTAAAAAATTATTTTCATTCAATATTGCATCTGAATTGCTTTCTGTTGTTGTTTAAAGTGTCTTTTAAGTCGATTTAATTTATTTACTTTAATATTCATGATTTGTTAATTCTAAACTTTTATCTTTATTACTTTATATTTATTTATATTAATGTCTTTAATGTATTTAAGTTTTGCTTTTTACTTATTTTATTTAATACATATATCTTTTTAATAAAAAAACTTACTTTTTTGAATAGTATGCTCTGTTTTTGGAATTTCAATTAACGCGTTTTTACATACATTTTTATTATTTTTATAAGAATTTTTTATGTTTGGGGTATGAGAGCTTATTTTTATGGATTTATTTTAATAACTATTTTACATTGGCTGATTTTTTAAAGTGTTAAAATCTATAGTCAAAAGATTCTTAAATATTTTCTAAGTAGTATTATTATTATTCTTATTATTATTTTGTTTACTTTTTTATTATTATTTTAATAATATATCAGAGTATTTAACTGGTTTTTAAAGTTATTAATCTCCATTTAATAAAATATTATTATGTTATGAAAATTATTTATTTTTACTTTAATTATATTAAAATTTGCTATTGTTTTTATAATTTTAATTTATCTGAGTTTGTTATTTCATTTATTTTAATTCTTCGATTTCAAAATTAATATAGGCATTTGGAAATTCTTTTATAGGGTCCATGCTTTTTCCTATTTTCAATGCTTCTTGAAAATATGCGTTCGACGAGATTTAGTTATTTACTATTTATTTCTATCCTTTAATAAAACAATCATTAAATATTTTAGGAGACTGTTATTATTTTGTGTCTTTTTCAAAGTTATCTTTTATCAATATATTTGATTTTATATTATTAATTACTTTATATGTTATTTACTTTTTATAGGTTGAGGAGATAGTTTATTGATTGATGTCTTTAATATTATATTAAGTATAATAAGTATATTTTTATTTTTATTTTTTTACTTTCTATAGCATTTTTATTTTCTAATTTAATAATTTTTATTTTTCTATTTATAAATATTTTATTTATTCTTATTTATTATATAAAATTTATTATATAAAAAATTATAGATAATATAAATTATAAATAAATATAATAAAAAAAGTAATTTACATTTTTACTAACTTTTACTCAGAAAAAATATTATATATAAATTATAAAAATATTTTTTAATATGTAAATGATATATCGTTTAATTTTTTTTTTAAGAAATTTATAAATTAATTATATATATTTTTTTAAATCAGTACATAGTTTTTATTAATTAATAAATATTATAATATTTAATATTTCTTTTATTTTCAATTATACTATAATGCATATTAATTATCTTTCTTAGTTTATTTTTTTTATTCCTTATTAGTATCTAAAAAAAAAAATTATATAAAAGTAAATATATTATTTAAATTACTTTTAGAAACGACAAAATTCTTTTTTTTGAAAATATCTTAAATATCATCTAAATTATAATATTTAATAGTATTAGAACTTTCAAACAGCTTTAAAATTAAATAATCATATTAATCTTTTTAAAATTTAATTGAATTAAATTGAAAAGCTTTATCTAATTATTCTAAAGTAAACTATCTTGATTTTTTAACTGCTGGATTTTATAATAAACATTATTTAATTCCTTCTGAAAATTAATCTATAACTAAAGTTATATCTTCATGCAGTTTTGATTCTTATTCTACATTTAAAAATTTTATCTGCTATATAATATTTTTAAATCTACTTTTAAAAGTTACCACACTTGTACTTAATTCTTCGTGAAAATCAATATAATCAAGATTTGAGTTATCTTCGACTAAATATCTTGCTAATAATAAGGCAGTTTCATTATTTTAAATATTAAAAGGTTCACTATGATAAAAAAATTAAATTTATATGTAAATTATATATTATACTCATTTAGCTTTTTATAAACATCTTAAACAGATATTTAATTCGATTTTAAATCTAATTCAGACAAAAGTTTAAATAATACTTCATCTAATGAAAGTTTTTTAATTGAAAATCTCATATTTAACTCTTTCCCTTTAATTTTTTTAATATTATATATTTCTAATTAAAAAAAAAAAAAAAACCTAAATCTTTGACATCATCATGTGTAACAATCCTTAATTTCTTATAATTAATATTTTTGTTACTATTAAATTATTGAGTAGTTTTTTAATTTTTCTGATTTTAATTTTTATTATTTTATAAATTATTTTATTCAAAAAATTATAAATTTTAACAATATATATTTTAAGGGCTATCAAACTATTATAATTAATTTGTATTATTAATATTAGTTTAAATTAGATTGCTTCTTTAAGTATTTTATATATCATTTTGTATATTTTTTATACTTCTTTAATATTAGTTTTATTTTTATTGATGTAATTCTTTATTTTTTTATTTTTCTAGATTTTATATATCTAATTTGCTTTTCAACTCTTCTATTTTTTCAGATAGCTTATTTATTTCATCTTATGTTTATTTTTTATCTTTTATTTCTAAAGCTTGTTTTTCTTATAATCTATTATTTAATTCTTTTATTGACTTTTTTAGAATTTATATTTCATCTTCTTTTTCGTTTAAAATTTTTCTACATTCTTTTTCTTACTCCTAACTTTTTATTATTATATTTGTTTTTTATTTATTTTTAATTTATATACGCTTCTCTTAATTTTCTATCTTCGTCTGATATTTTTTAAGCTATTTTCTCTAATTATAGAATATATTCTTTATATCTTCTTGTTTCTTTTAATTAATCAAAATAAACCTAATCTTTTTTTTATTATTATTCTTTCATTTATTTAATTAATTCATTTTTTTAATTATTTATTTTTTCTTTTTGTTCCAACAATCCCTATTTAATTATATTGTTAATTCTATAAATTAAATGGATATTAATTTTAAATAATTACGTCTTATTCCATTATTTTTTATTCTAAAAGCTTTTCAGCACCTTCATATTCTTCAATTTTTTACGTTAAATTATTATTTTTACTCATTAATTTTTGTAACTTTTTTTAATAATTATTATAATCTTAGGCCCTTTAAAATATATTAATATATAAATTGATACAAATAAAATAACTTACATAATTAAAGCTTTTTAATCACTAAGTGATTAATTATATAAAGTTTTTAATCGTAAACTCTCTTCTTAAGAATGAAATAAACAAATTTATAATTCTTAGATTTTGGTTTATTTAACATTTTTTTTATAATTATCAATTTAATTTTATTTTTATTATAAATCTTTTTTCAAATCTTAAATAGACTTTTTTAAATTTATTATCAATAAATTTTAATTTGTATTTGTAAAATTAGGATTACTTGTAACATTTTTTTATTAAAGATAATTTTCTACATCACCAATTAACTTTAATTATTTTTGATTTTCTTTCTATTTATATATTCAAGAAATTAAATTGTATTCAAAAAATTTAATTTTTTTTATATTACTATTAAAGTCATATTTTTTGTTCTTAATACTAAATTTTCTTATTTTATTTGTTTTATAATATGTTTATATTATTAAATTTCTATCCATAATTATTCCTTTTTTAATTTTAATTTTTATTATTTTTAATTTAGAAAAATATATAAACCTTATCTTTTTTTATATGTTAAGGCCGCATTTTATGTAACTCCGCAATATTTAAAGGAATTTTAATTTATCTCGCCTAATTAAATGTATTTTATTCAAGTGAAGAATCAAAATTTGTATTTGTTATATCATCAATATTTGCAAAATAATTATTAAGGGAAATCGATTTTAAGTTTTTATTAGACTAATCTGAAAATAAATATGTATTTTTTTCTTTGCTTTTAATATTAGTTTAGGATTATGGTCTTATAAACTTTGGATTGAAATTTTTCTTTAAATCAATATCTATATAATCTGGATTACTTGATATTTACTAGGGAAAATAATCTTTATTGATTGCTTTATTCTTAAAAAGAAAAATATAATAAATTGTTTTTAGTTTTAATTTTTATATTTTACTTAATTTACGTAAATTTCATTATCATAATCCCTTTTTTTATATATATATATTTTATATTTAAATTATTTAAAAATTATTTGAATACATTTTTAAATTTATTTCTTTTTTTAATTTTTTTTTTAAAAGTTTTACTTTAAAGTTAATTCAATTTTTTTTAAAAAAATAATATTAAAAAAAAAAATATTATTTATATTATTATATTTTAATTTGATTTAAATAGAACATATTTTAAATTTAATTTCTTTTCATATATTCAATTGGATGCAATTGTTTATTTAATATCGTAAAAGATTAAAAAAGAGCATATAACAAAAGTTTATATAAATACAAATACATAAGTAACAGGAATTTAATAAGTATTTAAAATTAAAAAATCTTAAAAACCCATAATTAATCTAAACATAGCAACTAAAGCTTTCCTAGATATTTTTGATTTTTTAAAAATTGCCTTTATAAAAATAAAATAAAAATTTAATTTAATATATCAAGAAATTACATAAAAAAGCTAATGATTATATTCATCAGGAGCCATACTATTTTATTTGCCAATAGCTTAATAAAAAATTTATTTAAATGTAATAATAGAACCTTTTTTGTAAATAAAATTTTATTTCCATTCTAAAATATTTATACTTTAAATTATTATAAAAATATATATATTTAAAGTTTATTTAAACGAAATTATTATTGAATATATTAAGTATTTTTTAAAAAAACATTCTTTTATTTTTTTCCAACATCCTTATTTTTTTGCTTTTAATCTATTAACCATTATTAATTAATATTATCATATTAAAAAACAAAGCTAAATTTAAAGTAGTAATAAAAGATATTAAAATTGCTGAAAAATAGTCATAATTGATATTTATTTCTAAACATAAATAAGGCAAAAGCCAACTAAAATACAAAATTTCTTATATTTGAATATATTTGCTTATTTATAAGAAATTATTATAAAAATAATTTCATTATTAGAAAAGTTGAATCATTTAAATAATTATAATTATGTTCTTATTATATAATATATCTTTCAAACATAAAATTTATAAAATTGATTTAAAAATAAAAAATCTAAATTAAAAAAATAATTTATTTATATACTAATAATAAATAAAAATAATAGACAAAATATATCAAGAACTATTTGTAATTTAATTAAATAATAGATTATTTTTATATATTATGTAAATGGCATCAAATTTAAACAGTCTTGTATTTTAGTATGCTTTTTAAAACTGGAAAGATATCTTATAGTAATTATTAGGAAAGAATGAAAGAAAAGCTTGAAATTGAAAACGTAAATGTTCATATAATTTTAAAATAAGATTTTATTTTTATTATATACTAATTTGTATAGGTTAAAGTATTATATCATTATTGTTAAAATACATATAAAATAATAAATAGTCTCAATTTACACTTTGCTAATAATTTGCTATTTATTTTATTTATTGTTTCATTTAATTAATCTGTTTATTGATTATGATAAAAAAAATTATAATCTGCTCAATAATTATAGTAAATTAAAAAAAGAAATAAAGATAAAAAAATTTAAAAATTATAAATAATAAATTTTAATAAATACAGCTATTAATTATAATAAAGACTAAAATTATTTTTTATAGAAATATAAAAAATAAAAACATATTTTTAATAATTCATATATAATTTTATTTTATTCATATGATTAATATAGTATTATTTAATTTCATATCAATAAAATATTTTAGATAAAAATAATTAAAAAATATATATATTTTAAAAATAGTTATAAGAAATAAATAAAATATCCAAAAATATAAATTATTAATTATGAAAAATAAAGAAAAAATAAATTAAAATAAAAAATTTAATATTTATTAAAAATAATAAAGAATAAATAAAATTTTAAGCAATAATATGTTATTTATATATATATTTATATATATATATATTTATATTTATAAATAAAATATTTTATTTTTTTATTCTATTTTTCAATAAATTAAATATATTATAAATATACAGTAAGATATTTTATTTTTAATATTAATAATATATATATATATTTTATAATAAATTTATATTTTTTAATTTTAATATTGTTTTTATAATACGTAATAATTATTAATATATAATTAATAACTAATATAAATAGTATAAATTAATTTAATACAAAAGTATTTATTTTTTTTATTTATTAGATAATTTTATAATATAAAATCTTATTTTAGTTAATAAAAATATAAAACATAAAATGAATTAATAAAAAGAATTTATAGAATAAACACTAACTGAAAAACAAGAAAAAAATCAAATTAATAACAAACATATTTCATTAATATAAAATGTAAGATAATATTTTTTTACTTTTAAATTTCTATTTTTATTATATTTTTAAAAAAAGAATGAAAATGAAAAAGATTTATCTTATTCAAATAAAAATCCGAAAAATCTTGATAAAGAATAAATATAATAATATTTATAAGAATAAAATACTAAAAAATAAGTGAGAATGCAAGAATAAAACAAAAATGAGTAAAAAAATATTGAATTTCATCTTGATAACTAAACTTTTGATTTAGGAATATGCTTAATTTTTCGATTTTTTTTTCTAAATATTACAAAGCTTAATTATTTATTAAATAAATATGTTCTTAAAAAAAAAAAAAATCTAGACTTATAACATATACCATAATTAAATAAAGATACTCAAATTGAAAAATTTATATATTTATTCGAAGAATATTTAAATAAATTAAAATATAAATAAAAAATAACTAGTAAGGATATATATAATATGGTATGCACTGTATTTAAAAAAGATTTTTTAATAATACATATTTTAATATTAAATTACATAATATCAAGATAAATAAGCTCTATAATAATATAGCATACAATAAATGAATTTATGTTTGGAAATAAACAAATGGCTTCATTATGGGCTTTCGTTTTGTTTATTTAAACATTTTTAACTATAGTTTTATAAAATTAATCTTTTAATAAAGTATAAATTGTTTTTGCATAAATAAGAATGAGTTTAGTGAATATATTATATAGAAAAACAATAAATATGTCTAACTATTAAATATAAAAATTTGATGTTGGTAAAATATTTAATATGATTTCTAATGATATAGAAACAATTGATAAATTGCTTTATTTTGCTTTTATTTTAATTTACTTACCTGTTATTATAATTCTAATAAGTATTATCTTATATGAAAGATTTAAAAGATACGGACTATTATGTACTCTAATAATTATATTATGTATACCAGCATAAATATACAATAATATAAAAACTGCTAAAATAAATAAAAAAAAAAATTATTTTTCTGATTAGAGAATAGTATAAAATAAATAATAATAAAATACATTTTTATATTTTAACTTTTATTGATTTACTTAATAATTTATTTGGAATTTATTTATGATTAATTTATTTTTATTTATTAATTATTTATTAATTTATTTATTTATTTATTTATTTATTTATTTTTTTAATAGAAATTTATTAATCAAACTATTGAAGGAATTCGGTTTATTAAATTATATGGTTGGGAAAATTAATTTTTATAATTTATTGATGATTTTAGAAAATAAGAATTAATTTTAGTATTAAAATCAATATATTATAGAAATTGGGATAGATCATCATCTTTATCAATTGTTTTATTGTCATCTTTTATTCCTATTATAATTGCACATTATAATGGTTATGATTATATTACTAGTGCAAAAATATTTGCTACATTAGAATAACTTTATAATACCAAAAATTTGCTTTTTTATGCTGGATTAGGTTTTTTTTTTATTTTTTAAGTTTAAGTTATTTTAAAGCGTTTTTGTGAATTTTTAAATATTGATAACGAACATTTTTGCATGCTGATTGATAATACAGAATATGTCGATGAAAAAATTAAAAATTAAGAAACATAAATATAAATAAATTTACAAAATTAAAATATAATTAAAATTAACAATGATAAATTTAAAGAAATAGAATAATAGAATGTATGTTAGCTAAAAGTTCTGAAATAATATAAATATATATAAGAATAACATACAATTTAAAAACCATTAAATATCATAAATTTAATTGAATTAAAAAACTTTTAAGGATTTTGGTCAATTGACTAACCTCCAGTATTAAAAAATATAAATATTCATATCTAAAAGGGTTATTTTTATGGTATTGTAGGTAAAGTTGGAAGTGGGAAAACTTCTTTCCTATAACTTCTCTTAGAAGAAATGCCTTACTTTAAAGGATAAATAAGAAAAAAAGGTACTGTAGCTTATGTAGAATAAGAACCATATATTTTTTCAGGAAAATTTATTGATAATGTTACATTTGGTAAATAGTTTGATAAATAATTGTATGATGATGTTATTAATGTTTGCTAATTAAAAAATGACATTAATTAATTTATAAATAAAGATTAAACAGAAATAGGAGAAAGAGGAGTTACTTTAAGTGGAGGGTAAAAAGTAAGACTTTCCTTAGCTAGAGCATTATATAGCTAAAGTGATATCTATCTGCTAGATGATCCTTTGAGTGCTGTAGATTCTAAAGTAGCCAAAAAAATATATGATAAATGTATTAGATAATTTTTAAAAGATAAGACAGTTATTTTAGCGACTCATCAAATTCAATATACATAATAATGTGATGAAATATTTGTTTTTGATAATGGAGAAATAACTAATAAAGGAAATTTTTTAGAATTGTAAAATGTATTATTTAAAATGATAAGTAAATTTACTTTTATTGATAATAAAAAATATTCAGGTTCTGAGTATACGAATAAAAAAAGTAGTATTGATATAAAAAGTTAAAGTAATATAAAAATCTTAAAAAAAAAAATAGGAAAGTTATTTACAAATGAATTAGAAGAAAAAATAGCTGTAACATTTTAAACTTATAAAAAATATTTAAAAATGGTATAAAATATTCCTTTGATTATTTTTACAATTTTTCTTTTTATTATTAGTGAAGGATTATATACTAGTTTCTATTATTATTTTGGAACTTATTCAAATTAAGATGATAAAGATTAATTATTCTATGTTTCTGGTACTATTCTTTTTTTCTTCATTTTGGTATCTAATATTAAATGCATTCTAATTGCTTATTGTGTTAATTTAGCTAATCAAAACCTACATAGAATTATGGTTGATAGGATAATTAAAGCTTAAACATAATATTTTGATTAAACTCCTTCAGGGAGAATCATAAATAAATTTTCAACGGATATTGGAATTTTAGATAGTAATTTTAGTTGGATGCTGTTAGAAATATTAGAAATTATTCTATAATTTTTTAACATCTTTATTACTTTAGCTATATTTAACCCTTATATTTTGATTTTGATTCCTATTATAATTTTTACATTCAATTATATGATTAAATTTTCAAAACCTTTGATTTTGGCATCTAAAACATTGGATATAATAAACAGAAGTCCTGTGTTTACATTTTTTTCTAAAACAATTTAAGGCATAATTCATATTAGGATATATGAAAACGTAAAGATATTTTTAAATAAAATGGATTAATTAACCAATAACTCCACAAGAACAAATACCCTCTTTTGGAATGCTTCAAGGGCTATCTCTTTTAATTTATAAGCAATATTTTCATTCATTATATTAGTAGGATAAATTATAAATATATATACATTAGAAAAAAATAAAGATTTTGGTTAATTATTAATTTATCTATCTATAATAGTGGAATTGATAATTCAATTGTCAAGACATGCTATTAATTTTGATTCTTACATGAGCAATTTAGAAAGGGTACTTATTTTATGTAATTTACCTCACGAGGGTGAACTTAATAAAGAAGAAGATAATTTGTTATATTAAAATGTTTAATAAAAGCAACACAAATCCAAAATATAATATTGGATTTAAAAAGGTGAAATTGAATTCTAAAATGTGTTTATGAAATACAGACCGGAATTGAATTTTGTATTAAAAGGAACATCGTTTTGTATTAAATCAGGATAAAGTGTTGGATGTGTAGGAAGAACTGGAGCAGGTAAATCTTCATTATTGTAAGCTTTGTTTAGAATGACTAATATAGAGCCATAAAGTAAAATTCTTTTAGATGGAGTAGATATTCGTACTATCGGATTAAATACTCTTAGAAGCAGTATTAGCATAATTCCTTAAGCACCATTTTTATTTTCAGGAAACGTCCGTAAAAATATAGATCCTTTAAATTAATATTAGGATACTGAAGTTTGGGAAGCTTTATAATTAGCAGAATTGAAAGAAACAGTTTCATAACTAAAAGATGGATTAAATACTGATATGCCAAATGCATAAAGTTTATTTTCAACAGGTTAAAAATAACTTATTTGCTTAGCTAGAGCAATCCTTAAAAATAGTAAAATTCTAGTTTTAGATGAAGCCACAGCTAATGTTGATATGAAAACCGACGAAATTATATAAAATGCAATTAAAAAATAATTTATAGGTTGTACTATTTTTAGTATTGCTCATAGAATTAATACTATTGCTGATTATGATAAGATTTTGGTTATGGATCAAGGGAAAGTTGCTGAGTTTGATGCACCATTTTTGCTTTTAGCTAACTCTATTGATGATGATAAAATTTCTAAAAACAGTATATTTGCATAAATGGTTAAAAACACAGGTGAAAAAAACTCTGAAATTATCTT